AATTTATTTGATACTATTGAAAATATAATTTTTTTCAATGTCATCAATTAGTATTATTTATATTCCTATTTATTCATACATTGGTGTTAGTAAGATTTATAGTTTAGATTTTTAAGATTTCATTACTATTATTATTAGATAATACATTATGTAAATCAGTATAATTTTATGTAATTAATATATATATATATATAATATAAATATAACAATTATAATTAAAATCATAATGTTTATTCAAATTTCAAACTTACAATTTATATTTTAAGAAATATGGATGCGAGTTTTTTCATATTAGGTACTTTTCAATAATATTGTTATTTTATGAATTTAAACTATTTATAATATTTTTACCACACTTTGGACATTAATTATAATTTTAATCCTTAATTCCTTTATGGTATTATTTTGTTAAATATAGCAAGGTAAAGTTATTRTAAATTATAATAACATTATAATCAACTGTTAATAGTGATAGGATAAAGGTGATCTGACCACTGCCGTGAAGTGAATTCCACTGTTAGTCTTCAAAATGACTAAGGAAAAACACAAGTTTAAACAAAAATTTTATAATAATATAAAATTATTAATCAATAAAATAAATATTTTATTCTATTTTTATTTACATTAACATTTACTATTTCACACCAAATTCGTCAATTTTAATTGTTTATTATTTTATGGGACATTTTGAATCTGTAAAAATGTGTTGTATGTGAAATTATGATTATGTATATTATACGTATTTGATTATATTGTAATATTGTAATAATGTTAATAATATATGCTGTAATTTTTAGTTCGATTACAATTTTGTACTTGACTCAATATTAACATATTAATATGATTTCCATTTTCCTCCAAGAAAATTTAACTTTTATTAAATCTTAAAAAAAAGTTAAACTTTGTTATGAACATGTGCATAGGAAATTAAATCTTTTACAGTTTTTCCGTTTGTGAAATTTTTTAAATATGAACTATGAATCTGTAATATACATTTTATTTTATTGTGACTATTGAAAAATATTGTTATGTAAAAATAAAATTTATCATTATAGCCAATATTGAAATATATTTAAAAATAATAATAATTKTATTACAAAATAAATTCTGTGATAAATTAATAATATAAATTGGAATTGGAGAATACCTACTGTTTGTAAAAGACTCAATGAATTTTATAGTTTTAATGGTTACACTTAAACCTTGCATTCAACTATTTCTCCAAGTGATCAATTTTTTTTAAACATTGTCAATATATTTTATTTATTTTTCTGAACAAGGGTATTCTTTGACTTAATTTGTGGCATAGGA